CTTTAAAAATGCTAACACAAGAGCACATGAGTTGTACACATTGTGGTTAGCAACTTAGAAGCAAGGGTGAAGTGGTTTAAGAGTTAGAAAAAGAAAAGGAGAAGACAGTCAGGAACCAGACCCTGACTGCGCTAGGACTGGGCCCTGCGAGCCAGAGTCTCGGTGCTAGAGGCATGGCCAAGAGGGCCAAGTCCAGACCGGACCCAGGCACGCGTGAAGACCGGACCCTGAGGCTAGAGTCCGGTTGTGCCGTATTCTAGTGGCATGGACACGTGGCATGTCAAGGAGAAGTGGACCAAGGCAATGAGTCTAGTCATGTTTGACTAGACCTGGTTTGAAGGATTTTGGCGCTCTCTGGACTTCTCTAGAAGTAACTGGACCCAAGCGGCATTTTAGGACCGGACCCACCCCTCGGTGAATCCAGTCATCGTCTTGGTGATGTGCGGTGCAGCGGGTGTGAGGACCGGACCTTGTTGAGAGTCCGGTCATGCAAATTGGACTGAGTCTGGTCATTTCCTAGCGCTCGGGGATCTCTTTGTAATCGATCGGACTCACGTGCGTGTATACGATCGGACCCAAGCTCTCTGAGTCTAGTTGTTATTTGACTAAAGTGCTGACCATTATAGCCGTTGAGATCCAGTGGCCAAGGTTCAAAGTGAGGATGCATGGACTGCCAGGAGCGACCGGACCCAAGCGACCAGACCCTGGCCACAGTCTGGTCGGTGAGTCCGGTCCCGCCTGCGCGAGCCTAACGACTCTTTGAGCCAAGGGGCTCTATAAATAGGTGGTGGCCGGCTTGAAGCTCACTCTCTTAGCACTTTGACATACTTGACATTCTTGTGAGCCTAAGCAAACACTTCCCACTCATCTCCATCATTGATTCTTCATCATAGTGAGATTGGGAGTGATTCCAAGTGCATTTGCTTGAGTGATTGCATCTAGTGGCACTTGGGGATCATTGTGGCTATGGAGTTCTTGTTACTCTTGGTGGTTGCCGCCACCTAGATGGTTTGGAGCAGTGGAGGAGCTTCAGCATGTGTTAGTGATTGTTCATGGACGGCTCCGATGATTGTGAGGGGTCTTGTGCCTTCCCCGGCGGAGAGCCAACTCTAGTGGATTGCTTGTGTCATTGAGTTACCTTACTTGTAGGTAGGTTCTTGTGGTGCCATTTGTTGGCTAGGTGTGTGATACCTATTAGCCACCAAACCACCAAGTGTTGGTCGACACAACGGGGAATAGGGTGCCGGCAAGTATGTGAACCTTAGGAGAAAAAACTTGTGTCCCTTGTGTGATTGGATTTCTCCCAGTGATTGGATTGCCTTCATATTATGATTGGTTCATTCCTCGACACTGCGGTATATTCACCCTACTCACTCCCGTCCATTTCTTGCAAACTAGTTGCCAAGCTCTTTAGTGTAGTTAGTCTTTGAGAGCTTGTTAGTTTGGTTAGTGTGGCTCTTTAGTTAGTCTTTGAGAGCACACTAGCTTAGTGAGTAGTGACTTAGCTTTTGTGTGTGCCTAGTGATCATAGCAATTAGAATTGTTGGGATAGGTGGCTTGCAACCCTTATAGAGCTAGAGAAAAATTGCATTACGCCATTTGTTGTACTAATCAATTGCTCTAGTGCTTTGTAGAGTTCTTAATTAGGCTATTCACCCCCCTCTAGCCATATTAGGACCTTTCAAATGAGCTCACGAACACATCCCCATAGGTGCTCCTTCTCTAATTTAGGTGACAGCGCCGCCGCTTCCATCGCTGGCCCTGCTCCACCAGATCCTCATCAAGATGGAGAGGAGGCCCCCATCAAGAGGAATGAAGTGGCCATCCTCACATACCATGTTGGTCCTCATCCTTAGCCGCCTCACTGAACCGCTCCTTGTGTAGTTGCAAGTGTGTTTGTCGCTCCTAGAATAGCCTCATCTTGGGATCCGAGTACCATAACGAGCTGCCCCAGATTCTCGCTAGATTCTTCTACTGCAGCTAGAAAGGCAAATGCAACTTCACTAGCGTCACCAGTGAATACCCCTCCTTGTCCTTCTTGCCCTTCCTCATTCAGGATGTCATGATCTCATATTGCTCTTGGGTCCTCATCCTCTGCTGGTTCGCTGGGTTTCACTATGTTGTCTGCAATCCGATGACTAATAAATGGTTGCTACTACCGGATAGCAATCATTCTTGTGGTTTAGCTCGCTTGGGGTTCAATTCAACAATCTCCTCGCACTTCCATGTGTTTGAATATGGGATCAATGATGATAACTCCTTAGGTGTCAACATCTACTCATCTAAAATTGGCACATGAATCTTTAAAGAATCTGAATGGGGCGAGGGTATTGTACGTAGTATCCACATATGGGACAAGTGTGTTTGTTAATGGTTTTATGCACATAATGGAGTTCACCCAGATAGTTGCTGTTGATATAGAGGGAAAGACATGGAGGAAAATTCGTAGGCCAAGTGGTGATGCAATCTTCATCCATGAAGGCCAGGGTCAGTTGTGTTTTTGTACTGTTGATACTTCGAATAGGTAGGAGCTTTCAATCTGGATCCTTGAAGACTATGGTACTAGTAAATGGACATTGAAGCATAAGGTGACCACGCTGGAGCTATTTGGACAGAAGAATATTGAAATTGGTACCGAGGTTTGCGATGCGGCCTACATAGTGATTGTAGTTCTCTAGAATAGAATTTGATTTTTCTTGTTGGGGAGGACAAAACACTGATTGCATATGACATGAACCGCAGTAAAGGTCATGTCCTCCCTGCCCGGGTCATCGGCTATCCTAGAACTACATGGAAACTATTATGTATGAGCGGCGGACCTCACTATCTTTCTTATATTTCCTTGTTCATAGAGTCATTAGCAGAGCAGTAAAGGTGTATATACTGTATTTTGTTGTTACGTCATGTCTTTGTTCAGATAGGTAGTTGTTTTGATTCTATATATAGTCTAATTTGGGCTTCGTAATTAAAGGAATGTTGTGTTGAATATCATTAATTCTGCTGCTTTGTGCAGATTATGGAGTCTGAGTGCTTTTGAATAGCTTTTCTGCATTGGCTAAGGGAGGAAGAAGAGGGGTTTCATGGTGCATTGGCTACCAATCGGATGTGCTAATTATATTAATTTTGCCTTCCAAGAAGGAGTGTCACATAGGAGGAGTATAGCTATGTCATTTTGTTATGTAAGTCTATAGAGATCAGTACCTTTAGTATGCAATCTATGTACCGCTTGTGTAAGGACATCAGTTGAGAAAGATGTTATGGTAAGTGTCCATTGTTATTGTAAGAACATGGTATATGGATGTAATGATTATATATGTATGCTTTATGTTCAGAAAGCTATTAAGGGTTGTTCATTGTTTTGTTATCACCATCGCCGTTTGTGGTGCAAATGTCCAACACCGTCGCTATATGTATGATGCGGCAGGGATCAAAAGTATACCACCGCTAAATCGTTAGGAACCCGACACCGACTAAATGATCATCAAAGGTGGATCATGGTGCAAGACAATAGTGACCATGACCTCTATACTGATGAATCATACGCTGAAGCGACGGTGATGTTTACCTCTACACAGATGTCTCGGCCGTCGAAGCGACATCAAACCCACACCATAGACAGTCGAGTCAAAGTACAAGGCGATGGTGCTGGTGACCACTACATAGGTGGTTGATGTGCCCACACGATGGTGATGGTAGCCTCGACACAGGCAGATCATTTGTTAATGTGGCGGTGTTGAGATCCGACACAGTCAGTTCCTGGCCATCCGTGATGACTTCGACTATCACCATCGAGTGCATACTGCCAAGGCCAAAATATGGCTGTGATAGGGGGTTATGACATGGATGTGATAGGTCTAAATGTAGTAGTGTTCTCCCAACACCACTGAGTCACTGAGGGTGTTTGGGGAAGGTACACCATGATGATGAAACAGATGACAAGTTCAAGAACTTCTCTGCATCAAAAGAATTCAAGGAAGAAGAAGAAGTGGGATGGGTCCGAGCGGCCCCTCCACACTTCTTAAATAGACAAACTTCTAATTTAGAGAAAGAGGAAATGAACAGTCAAGATTTGTGACACATGTGGGTCACGTGCGTAACAGATGGAGCATGGAAGATGAGGCGCTTCATATCCCTAGACTCACTCATCCATATCTATAATAGGACTTAATGATGTGTGATACCCAGAAGACCAAAGGGAGTGCCTACCTATAGGTGCCCAAATATCCTTCGAGATTGTCAACTCATCAGAAGCATCAGCATGCAGACCTTTGGCATCAGCACCAGAAGGGTCAAGTCATTCGACTGACTTGTCATCAAGTCCTTCAGGGACTACTGTTTGTGATATGGACCCATGGTACCTCACCACCTCGATATAAGCCCATTGATATTAGGATGGGACGAGGCTGATGCCTTTAATGCATACATATCGGCACATACATGTGGGAATTAAAATATGTAGAGATAGAGGGCGGAAAGCATTATGTCAAGATTTGAAGCGGCGGAGATAGAGAATTAGAGATGGAGAGCGGCGGAGATAGATAGAGAGCGAACACCACAAATCATATGTTGTTCCTCTATAAATAGCCATTGATGCCTCAAGTTCTTCAAACACAAAGAAGCACCAAAATCATAGCAACCTCAACCTTCTGAATCTCATGGACCCTGTAAATGGCTTTCGTGTCATGATCATCGATCACGATGAAGATGATGCAAACCGTACAAGGGACATGCTCCATCAACTCAACTTTCATGGTTAGTTCCAAAATTTATTGTTGAACTCCACTAAAGAATTGTCAAAATGATCCTCAAAGAATTGTTGAAATATAGGACTATGATTATTTTTTTTGTATTTGTTATCTATTTTTGTTAGTTTCTTTTATTACAAATAATCCTGACTTTTGCTTGCTTGTTCAATCATAGTGTATACAAGTCCTAGAGAGGCACTGGATTTTCTTAATGATCATGCACAAGATATTGATTTCCTATTGGTAGCAGTGGACATGGAAGAGATACCAGGTTTTGAATTCCTTGACATGGCCACGGAGATGTATGAAAACATCCAAGTGATTAGTAAGTGTGTACTTTCTTACTAAATGGATTCCAATTCATATATTCCCATGTATCCCTCTGTAGATTCCATGATTACTCTCTTCTTCAGAATTGTTAAGCTAGTGTGTTTTATCTTTGATACAATGATGTCAACTATGACAATAATAGATATTGTGATGAGATGTGTAAAACTTGATGCACAGTTTTTGGTGAACAAACCTCTTGACTCAGTTACCACTCATAACTTATGGCAATTTCTTGACCTTGGGGATAGAAAGATAGAGATTATTAGGAATTTCTTTCAAGGTTAGAATTTTTCACAATTGCTAATTAACATCTATTTTTTAGAATTAATTGAGTTTCTAGCACTTCTAACTTTAGCTTGGATTAAAAGAGATACAATATTTAAGAGACAGATCCATGTCATCACAGTCCATAAAACTATAAATGAACACTAAACAATTCACATAAATATCCCACCAAACCCATAGTCATAGTTGGTAGAAATGGAAGACCCTGCTCACTAGCCAAATAACTATAGTGCCACATCGCTTTGGTTATCTATGCTTGCATTTCAAAAGTGTTCTATTTGTTCACCAGTTCTTACATTTCCTAAATTTTGTTTATTTTCTTACTTTTCTTAAATAGTGTATAGTGGTGTTGTTTCATAATAACTTATTATTACCGACATGTAGTGTATTTATAGTATTCAAAGTTATGTCAAAGTAAGAGAACGAATGACCTTCTATTTTGTCTATTGTGTCCCATATATACAGGCCCTAGAGCTAACACACATGCCGAACAAAGCAATGTCACAAACTCTTCTACTGATACAGAGAATAACAATATTTCTGAAGTCCAAAGCTCCATAGGAAGCAACTCAGTAGACATGGGCCTTGTTGACTATCCAGACTCTGAAGATGGTGAAACTGTGGATAAAGGTCCTAAGGGAGACCAAGACACTGAAGTTGGCACATCTCCTAAGGGAGATCAAGACTCTGAAGTTGGCAAATCTCCTAGCAACTGAAGCTACACCTGGATTATGTTGCATTATGGAAGGGCGTCAATTTGGACATAGTAGGATCAACCATTACTATGATCTAATATAAGACTAAATAATCAATACCAACCAAAGATATGCTAAGGGAAATACTTGTATCTTCATGTGAAACAAGATACCATGTTGGGAACTCATACATAATGCAATGTCCCTTTTATAGTAGTAAGTTCCTTTTGTCTTCACACCATCATTGGTTTGTTTTAATTAATCATGACCACTGGCGAAGCCACCATAGGGGCGTGGTGGCGCGGCCGCCCCAGGTACCGACGTGGTCCACCTCCGGCTATCGAGCGCTCGCCGCAGCCGTGACATGGCGAGGAGCGACCAAGCAGGGATAGTATAGAAGAAGAAGGCTGGCGTGGCTGGGCCTCACTTTGGTTTTTTTTAGAATTCTAGGGCGGAGCCCCTGTCTTAGCATTAGCAAAGACACCATCACAGTTTTTAGTCTTTTACAGTGCTCAGGTGGGATACACCCGTCCATACAGTTTCAACAAAAAAAAAACTCAAAGAGTCACTGATAAAAGCAACAGCTAACAACAACAACAAAAAAAACTCTCTAGGATAGCAAAAGCGCTCAAAACATCTTCACTTCTCCACAGCCCAACAGGTAGTAGCAGCCCGTGAAGGTCTAACTGTCCCACACAATTGACAGATTTCTTTCCTAAACGACACATCGGCAATCCTCCAGCTTCCAATCCTCCATGCTCGCATTCCTTTTTCCCAACCAATCCAGCGAGCACAAAGCACCGAGGTCCGAGGGCCGATCGGCCAAGGCATCAGGCAAGCAGCCACGGTGACGCTGCCCTCCGGAGGGCGAAGGCCCGACGCTTGCGACCGAGCGCGAGCAGCAGCCGAGCGCTGCGCCCAAACCGAGGGCCAAGCAGGCGCCTGGTGCCTCAACCCTCAGCGGCTCCGCCGTCGTGTCCTGTGTAGCCGCGGCCATCGGCCACGTGAGCCCGCGGTGTCGCAGATCGAGCAAGAGCAGCTCGTGCCCGGTGCCCCCATGACCGGCTAAATTGGGTCTTCGTACAATTTATAGGTCCATAAGTTCTTATCTTTCTGTATTTTGCAATGTATCATGTATGGATCAACTCATGAAGAACTATTAATTTATTTTTAAAATTTGAGCTAACATCTTATATTGCTTATCCACTATTTCACCATAATTTATGTGATTGTAGCTTTTTTGTCTTAATTTGTGTGATTGTAGTATGTGATTACGGTGCGATTTGGTTTTCTCGTTAGAAATCGCCCCACCTATAATTTTTTCTGGCTCCGTCATTGATCATAGCCCCATTCGGCTGGAGGAATTCCGGATGAAATTGGATGAAAAAACACTGTTCGGATGAAATGTTGTGAGAGAAAAACATTGTTCGGATGAAAAAAGAAGCCGAACAAGCCGGTTTTAAGGGCAGCCGAAAGGGGCAATGATATTTTCTCATGGTGGATTTAATGAACCAATTTTATCTTGATGCATATTTTATAAACTTGATTAAAATTAAGTCGGACTTATGACGAAACAAAAACATGTTATATTTCAGAACTGAGGAAGCACTTTAGATATTTTAAGTAACATGTGACAAATGAAATAATCATGGTTTTTTAATTTCATAATTAAACAATATTTTGATAAGAAGATCCAAGCATATGAATTTTTGGTTGTTGGAGGCACATCTTCATCTTGCATCTCTAGCAAATCGGAACAGTAGCCAACACACTCTTTCTCCTCCGAGCTCCTTTGCCTCTGCCACCTACATGTGCTTGCTGCCCTGTCACATGGCAGGGTCTGATTGAACATGAATATCCTCTAACTTGAGTTAGAGGGACTTATTCACACAATCAGGCCCATCGCCAGTGACTCAATCCTTCTAATTTAAGTTAGAGGAACCTGACAATGCCGTCTTTGGTGAGACATTACCACACCCATGGTAACCTCTTCTCTGTCCCGTCTGCCGTTGTTATGGTTGGCTCAATCTTGATCTTGACCCAAACACCAACCATCCTCTAGTGCCTGGCCGATGATGTCACCTCCATCTTGCCTCCCTTATCTCGTTACGTCATAGTTGCCATCTTCTCTATAATCCTGCTTGACTACAATGAGCCCTCAAACTATATCCAAATTCTTAACCCTAAACCCTATCTTTGTCAGATTCTTCCCAGGGGCCAAAGAAGATGGTGATTTCAACCATAACAATAACATTGGTGAAGAAAAAAATTTGGGTTCCAAGGAAGGAAATGCACAATGAGGACCAGTCGACCACCTCAATCTGCCGAGACGACAGCAACCATATCATTGTGAGGAGTACAAGCGATGTACGAGTCTCTTATTGTGAGGGATTTTGATATTTGACACCCAATACACGCGCCTCACTATTCTTGGCACCCAATTGACATGACTTTCTATATTTGACACCATGCACATGAATTGTTTGGATCATATGCTTCTCTCCCTTTATCTCTATTTTTTCATTTTTTTTCTTTTCCTTTATTTTTCTAGGCCTAGTCAATGGCCATGTTTGCCCCTGCCTTATCTGGTTACACGGATGCATTGCATCCACATCACATCTCCTATCTCATGCATCTCTCGCACGCTCATCTCTCTATTGCTCAAGAATGGAAGGTGCCACCTCCCCTAGGGTTTGTACTGCTGGACTGGACCGATGAATTTAACCATCAAAATGGGCTCTGTGATCCCATTGGAGATCCCTCCCAGTAAGGCACAATTCCTAATTTCTTGCCTCTCCAAGGTTGTTGTATGTTTTGGAGGAAGAAGCATGTGTGTGAATGCGAAAGGACAATTAGAGAATGACATCGCCAGGCAAGGGAGGAGCAGGGGTGGTGATGGTACAAAGAGTCATTAGCGGCGGCGAGACAATTGAGCCAGGGAAACAAAAGCGAGGAAGGGAGCATGCCTATGATAGTATGATCCATAGGTCCAACTGGTGTATTTAGATAAGGTAGGGTAACATGTTCATTCATCAAGTCTAAAAAAAAATAAAAGAAAACAAAACAAATAACGAAACTGAGATAAGGGGAGAGAAACATCTGAATCTAAACGACTCACGTGCACGACATCAATATTGAAAGGCATATGAATTAGGTGTCGAGAACAATGAGTGTCTTAGGTGTCAAGAACAATGAGTTTTAGGTGTCAAATATCAAAAGCTCTCATTGTCACATGAACGTCCCAATTCATAGGCTAGGCGATGTGTGGCATGATTGTTCGCAGCGTAGCAGTGCGCGCACCCATATTGACAGTATCAGTAAGCAGGCCCATGCTTGATTGACCCAGAGGTGATTGCACGTGGAGCAGCGAGGGTGTATTTTGAAGTGATTCTGCGAGGAGTGTATTTTTTTTAAGCTCCCAACTTGTAGTGTAAATAGAAAAGTGATTCTCATCAACTTCCCACGAGGATACAATTGCTTCTTAAGCGTTTGGTAGAGATCTGCTGAATCCGCTTCAAAGAAGTTGGGAGCGTCCTCTGAGAGCAGAGCTCTGCCAAACTCCCGTGCCCTTTAGGTTCAAGGAGTATTCGTACCTTGTCCTCTAGTTTGGGACACAACCCCAGCTGCCTTCGCAACTTCGACCGAAACAGCTCAATTCTCGTGTAGATATCCCTAAAATTCCAATGTTTCCAAGATGGTGCACATGCTTTGAACAGCGTATAAAGAGATGCAGTAAACACGTTATCCTCTAGAGATATTTTATCTATGGCTGAATCCTGGTACCTTTAGAATTTTTAGCAAATTAAAAATGTTATTTAGGGCAAAACACCCTATAATACATTATATTTAATAAATAGCCAATTAGTTTAAAATAAAAATACCTAAAGGTACCAAGGTACAACTTTATCCTCTCTGGCTGAATTATTTAACCATAAAATGTGAGATCTATCATTAAGCATTTTATACGGCGCACCGCATGTCCGCATCAATCCCCAAGTTTGCAGCATCACCATGACACCGAAGCAATCAAGAGAAAGCTGGGCCCAACAGACCTCGCATCATACAAGCTGAGTTTTGCACGAGATATAGTGCAGGCAGTGATCATGTCTTCCCCCCATAGCCGATAGATTAGCTGTCACTGAGCGCAATCAGCTGGTCCACAACACCGGGGTCAGCAAGAGTACTCGTGTCGCCAAGCTCATCTAGTTGCCTGGATGCAATTTTTCGTAAGATTCTTCGCATGATCTTCCCACTTCGTGTCTTTGGGAGCCCAGGTGCCCAGTGGATCTTGTCAGGAGCAGCAAACGCACCAATCTACATGTGAAAAAGTACATCGATTGTCATTGAAAAAACATATAAATTGCAAGACAGACTGCCATTGCTAATCAGGTCATTTGCCGTCTTAGAAAAAAAACATCTTCCAGGAATCCATCACCGTAACTGTAAGCAAACTGTCTAAAGAGATTACCTGACTGCGGACCGTCATAACGAGACTTTTCCGTAGATCATCACTGTAGGGAACACCATCCACCAAAGTCACAAAAGCATATATTCCCTGACCTTTAACCTACAAAATGTAGTCAACTTTTTAAGACTGGGTTTGATTAAATAGGGGGAATAACGAATGGAGCACTATTGCACTAACGCTAAGGAGGAAAAAAAAAGTTCTGGACTATACCTCGTGATCAATACCAACAACAGCAGCCTCGGCACATTTTGGATGTGAAACCAGAGCAGACTCAACTTCTGCTGTCCCAATCCGGTGTCCACTAGAATTTTCAAAGGAAAAATGAAACACTCACATTTTGGCAGCCTGTTTAAACCATCTCATGAATCAAAATTAAGCAGAAGAATGAATAAAATAAGTAGCTGGATTACCTCACATTGATAACATCATCAACTCTTCCAGTCAGCCAGTGGTAGCCATCTTTATCCCTGATAAGCACATCTAGAATGTTAGACGATATAAACATGTAAAGCTGGGTGGCAAATTTACACAAGCTACCATCTTTACTGTTGAATTAAATACTTGATGTGTACCTGCTGCAGCCATCACCCGAGAAATAATATCCAGCAAATGGTTTGAAGTATGTCGTCTCATATCTCTCTTTATCTCCATATAAAGTCCGGAAAGCCCCAGGCCACGATTTCTTTATGCAAAGATATCCACTGCATTCTCCTTCCATTTCCCGACCTTTCTCATCAACAATGACTGGCTGTGAATCAGGTAAAGTTATTACAAAAACAAGGAATCGCAAATTTCCATTTCATATAAGTCAAGCAATGACATGTACCTGCACACCGAAGAAAGGAAATGTTGCTGATCCTAGCTTTTGAGGCCAAGCACCAGGTAAAGGAGTGATCTAATAAAACAAGAACAGTTAAACTTCAATTTGATAGGTAATATGACAGTCACTTTAAAAAACTCTAAATTGTCCTTGAATTATGAAGATACACTTACCATGAATCCCCCAGTTTCAGTCTGCCACCAAGTATCTGATATAGGGCATCGTGAGTCGCCAATAACATCATAGAACCACCTGAAATCCATAACAGAGCATGTAAGACTTTTCAGCACATACGAATTATAAGAGGTAGCAGTCATTACAAACCTCCATGCGGTGGGGTTGATTGGCTCACCCACACTTCCAAGCACTCGGAGGGACTTGCGAGAGTACCGAGCAACATACTGTAAATATACAATGGAAAATCAAGGTTACACAAGAAGAATGGTTTAGCATGATATTAGCAAACGTTGGCCATTAAAATTCAAATTATTTTGATCATATGACTAAAGCATATAGACATCAATTAGTATTCGACAATTCAGAGATTTCACTCTCAAAGATACGTTTTCTACTATTAACAGTACATGCAGGCTCCATAGCAAACTTGTAACAGTCAATAGAGATCAACTCCAATCAATTTACGAACAGCAAATATTAAGTGGTTTCCTTTTGATCTTATATCTTGGAACCGTAGCATAAACATCAGAGTTGAACAAAACACCTTGCATTCTAGGATGATTAGTATCAAACAAACAGCAATCAGTATTACCTCAGTACCATCACGCATAAGTGAGCGTAGAAGTGTTGGTGCAGTATAAAATATTGTCACTCCATATTTATCAACAATGTCCCAACAGCGACCAGGATCAGGGTAATTTGGAGCCTAAGAGTTGTGTCCAAGAAAATAGATTACAAATTAGACAGAGCAATTTCAAAATAAACCCCAAAATTACGTTAAAGTCAATAACACATCAACTACAAAACTTTTTGCAGTTACCCCTTCGAAAACAAGAACTGTGGCTCCATTCAATAGTGGACCATATGTCACATAACTATGTCCAGTAATCCAGCCACAATCTGCAGTGCACCTGATTTAAGTGAAACAGAGGAACAATCATAAGAAAATGGCGGCTACTAGAGATCCAATTATTTTAGGTAAACATTTGGTCTACCAGAAGACTCAATAAAGGCATATTACCAGTATATGTCTGTTGGCTTGTAGTCAAATGCATGCTTAAATGTTGTAGCAGAGTAGACCATATAGCCCCCAGTTGTATGCAACACACCCTGTATGGTTCGCAGTATGTTAGTAGCTTTGCTAAAGAGGCGCAGGAACAATCTGAGACTATGACTATGAGATTAAGACTACCTTTGGCTTTCCTGTGCTGCCACTTGTGTACAAAAGAAACAGTGGATCCTCTGCATCAACCCATTCCACATCGCATTTAGTTGGGAAATCGGGCACAACATCCTATAGGACATCATTGTTCATTCAGAAATAAACTGCATTAGTGATATAACTGAAACAAAAGGGTTTGTAGGTTATTTTCTGACACAGAAGTTCTGCAGAGTTGTGCACGTAGAAAGTATGATGCAATTTCGAATATAATTGAACTTGTTTTTGGCATACCTGACACCAAACATCTCTTCCTGTTTTCCATCGCGTGTCTACTTTATTCAGCGCGGACTGGTTTTCATATGTCAAGCAAATGCCTTCTCAGCAAAAGAAAATTTTCACATTAGATTCTTTTTCAAACCAGACTAGAACATACTCACTGAACAAAGTACATGATGTGAGATGATCAACAGTATGCTGGTGCTTTGGACTTCTTTCAAGACATCAAAGGGTAGCAAGTCATGTGCCGAAAAAAGGAAGGAAAGCGACATACCGAAGGCAAGGACTGTGACTAAAATGAAGGATGATGTTTGGTGGCAAGACAAGGTTTAGATCTAGATTAGCCATTTTGTCACAAAAGACTTTCTAAAAAAGTGGTACCAGGACAAAATTTGCAGATATGCTGTGAAAATAAAAGGCCCCCACAAAAATATCAGGAAGTCAAGGCAGTAAATCTTATAAATTATATCTAACTCCATAGGACATTTCCTCAGTGCAATTCCTGATATAAGAGACTATGGTTAACATGGAAATGGAACAAGGGTGGTAGATCCAAAATGCAACTATATTAAAGCTCAAATTTGCAGACAGGCCAGACATCCATACTCACAGATTCTAGTGCATACCTACATCAACTCCATTCTTTGCACTTTCGTCCAGAGATGCATCTACTATATCTTTGAGAGGGATGATTTTCATCCCCCTTTTCACAGCATTGCAGGTAATAACAACCTTAGGCTTGCAATCAATAACTCGTTGGGCCAGTGCCTCGGCTGAGAAGCCAGCAAACACAACCTGAACATATTCATCATCAAAATCAATCAAACATACATATAACCATTCAGAAACAATTGACGTGCAAACGTGGGGGTTAACAATTACCGAGTGAACAGCACCGATGCGGGCACATGCAAGCATTGCAATCGGCAGCTCCATCAACATTGGTAGGTAGATCACCACGGCATCACCCTTTCCAACGCCGACGCTTTTCAAGTAATTCGACAGCTATCAGAAAGCACAGCAGAACACATTAGACTGCCCAGGCTCTGCACACAATGCGTTCAAAACTACATGTAATTGTTTTGGCATAAGAGAACGAATGTTTTACCTGGCAAACCTTTTCCAGGAGCTCAGAGTAGGTGAGCTTCCCATCCTGACTGGGCTCATTCCCCTCCCAGTACATGGCGATCTTGTCCCCATTCCCAGCTTCCACATTGCGGTCCACCGCATTGTAGCATATGTTGGTCTTTCCCCCCTTGAACCACTGCGAGTGCCAAACACCAGTAACCATCAAGATCCTGTATGTATCCTTCCACGTTCCACCACCAGAAACAGCCATTGAAACTAAGGAATAACCTACTTCAATCTTGATCGGCCCCTTGGTCACGTCGAGGTTCTCGGCACAAACTTCATCAGGGCTCCACTTCTGCTTCCAGTAGAACTCATCCGCGATCTCGGACCAGAACCCAGCTGGGTCGTCGATCGACTTTTGGTACATCTCCCGGTACTGGTCACCATTCATTGCAAAATGCAAAACCATGTAATAAGTTACTACTACTCATCACATTCACCACGTGAAGTAATTCAGTAATTCACACGGGCACTGGATGTTCGATTCAGATTATGGACCCAATGAGTTATGATCGAAGAAAGGACAACAACAGAACAGAGGCCACCAGCAGGGCCACCGATCCCCCAGTCCTACCACTTGCTTCCCAGTCCTAGTCCTTGTCAGCATCATCTGACCCGCGCGCGCGCAGTAACGGATCACGACCAGCCGCACATTCGGCGGCGCAAAAACGCAGGCCGCCGGCCGAACGCGCGCCACCCATTTGCACACGAATCGGGACAAATCGAAACGGAAGGGCACGTGTGGCAGTAGTACGAGCGAACGAAACGATCACCTCACCTGCTGTGTGGAGGAGACGAGCGCCTGGGCGGCGAAATCGGCGCTGGGGTGGACGAGGAGGCCGGGGTCGTCGAGCGCCGGCAGCGGCTCGCCCAGCACGGCCGCGCACGGCCTGCTGCCGTTCCGCGGCTTGGCCGCCGCCGCCAGGCCCAGGTGGTCGCTCGCGCCCATGGGACCCCTCCGGCGCCGCAACCGAGACGAGGAGGAGGCGAGAGGGAGGAGGGTCGGCGCAGGCAGTAGTAGCGAGATCGCGGGGCGGGCGCACCCGCAGCGGCCGCAGCTGGTGGCGTATATATGCTGGGCCATGGCCTCGCGGGCGGCCCTGATGGCCTCTCCTCACCTCACCCTGCCCGCCCGCCTGCCGCTCTTGGCCGTGGCCGTGGGCCAATCCTCCTCTGACTTTTTGGTTGCCCGGCCGCCCGCGCCTTGTGGTGGAAGAGGCAAATCAAGCGGGCGGAAAAGCGAAGCCGAATTTGCCTTTCTGTTGGTGGAACTGAGACGCGGAGCGCTATAGGTGCTAGCGTACTCTGCTGCTGCGGCTAAACTACTAGCACTACTACTACAGCTGCTATGCTAGGGCTCGCGCGCGCGGCCGTACACCGAGAGACCAGCGTCGCCGGCGACGGGAACGGAGGTGAACGGTGAAGACGTCCGCGCCCCCGCCGGGCCGGTTTATACGTGCGCGATGAGGGTTCGAGGACTCGATCGGCGGCCTGGTTGTGCTGTGTCTGTGTGGCTGGGATTTGGTCGGTCTTTGAGTCGCCTCCCTGGCGGCTTGTTTTTGGTCGCGAGCGCCTCGCTCCGGTCGTTTTTTGCGATGCTCCCAGTCCCAGCGGCGTGATCTGTAGTCATTAGATTTGGCTCTTTCCGTTCGCGTCTCGAAGGCCCCGTTAGAAATGCTGCCTGCCGGCTGCCGCTACAACAAACCAATGCAAAGGTCTCTTTGATCCGCTGACAGCTAGTACTAATACATAGCAATAACTATCTGGTTAATAACTCATTGTTAATATTTGCTGGATAAATGTGAGCTGAGTACTAGCTAGGCCTTGTTTAGATTGTAAATTTTTGCAACCTGGACACTGTAGCACGTTTTGTTTGTATTTGACAAACTTTGTCTAATCATGACTAACTATGCTCAAAAGATCCGTCTCGTGATTTACAACCAAACTGTGTAATTAGTTATTTTTTTACCTACATTTAATGCTCCATACATGCGTTCAAAAATTGATGTGATTGAGAGAAAGTGAAAAAACTTGAAATTTGGAGGTGATCTAAATAAGGCCCTACTTTCAAAAGACCATGTGAATATAGATAATAATAATGTACAATGATTTCTGTCAAAAAAGGGCATGTGAATAGGAACAATTTAGCTCTAGTAGCCTTTACTGTTTTCTCTATTTCTAAAGTACAATGCAATTATTCAGCTCGTTCGGAGGGTCACTGAACAGTGTTTTTTGGATTTTTTATGATTGAATAGTATTCTGTGAGAGAGAATAAGCTGAAACAAGCTGGAATTATACCAGCTAAACGCGGTGATTATATGCAGGAACAATTTTGATAGGACGTACTTATAGTATTTGTTTGGGACTGTATGCTCCAAACTTGTCTAGCCAAACCGGGTCAACTCTAAAAACTCCTGCTTCAAAAAAAAAATGGAGCTAAGGATCAACTTCATGTTTTTCGGAGCTCCTGAAGAGGTACTTCAGAAACAAGGCTTATGTAAGTTGGTAGAAAACTACCCACCACTGCAACTCATTACACAATCGTCCGTACCAGTTTGACACCTTTTTTTCCCAACATTTTTTCTCCCACATTCGCTCGTGACTTGGTGGAGGTGCCAAACCCTAGCATCACCACCCTATTCCGGTCACCTCCGGCGACGTTTCGATGAGGTGATGGCCGGGATGGATAGATCCGAGATGCCGGTCAGGATGATCCCTTTTTGAACCCCAAATCTCCTCCATTTGTCTTCCTCGAACTCCCAAATCTCCAATCCTCTTCTCATGGATCTACTCCGGCGCCGGCTAGCCCTCGACCCTCCAGTGCCCAGGGGCGGCCAGCTAGTGCCTAGTGGCGGACGACCAGCGCCTAGGGGTGGTCGGCCATTCTGTGGTAGCTGTGGCCAAGCCACAACCGGCTACAACCTCTCAGGGGTGGCTATTATTTTATATAAATTTAGTTAAACTTAAAAAAAGTTTGACATACATAAAATAACACTTATTTCGGGACGAAAAGAGTGCTTCACTATTAAGGTGGTGTTTAAATCCAGAAAGTAAAGTCTAGGATGTTATATCGGGGTGTTACATGAGAGTATTTGGATAGTAATAATAAAATAAATTACAGAAATCTTCGATAATCCGCGAGACGAATTTATTAAACCTAATTAATCCATCATTAGCACATGTTTATTGTAACACCACATTGTCAAATCATGGACTAATTAGGCTTAAAAATTTGTCTCGTAAAGTAGTCGCAATATGTACAATTAGTTATTTTTTAGTCTATATTTAATACTATATACATGTGTCAAACATCCGATATAATAAAGAGTAAATTTAACGGAGAGAAACTTAACGAGGCCTAAGCTGGATGAATAAACATCCGGACTCCTGGTGTGACGGCAGTGTGTGGCGATACAGTTACCTGCAAGATGAAGTACGTAATGCGTGAGTTTGTGTACGTACATACGCGTCTGCGTCGATTCGTTGAAAGGAAGCAAGATCGAAAGGAACAACAGTGGCGTCTTAGCATCTACACCTAAGAATGTCTCCGATAAAAAACCTATACGAGCACTCAAAATATCTTTCACCAGAGTACCTATACAAGAGACCTATTTTTGGTTGTCTGATAGGCATCTAAATATGGGCATCCTCTCTCCTAAAAACCCATTTATAGAAAAGATTTTTTTTTGTCTGATTGTTGGAGAAGATGTTGAATATTTATTGAACCTTTTACTCGTAGTGCTAAAAAAACTGAATAAATTTTATATTTTAGATGTTATTGTTGAGATAGCCTAACGCCAACAACGTTGCCTTAGGTCGGAAGGCTTAAAAGCTTTTCCCTGATCTGTTCATTAATCCGGGGACACACGAAGCGGACGAAAATCTGCGCCCACGACAGCACCTGGGCACCGCTAGCTAGGGTGCTCTGCTCGTCGTGGAAACCGACGGCACAACGCCACAATTCCCGGCTTGCCCAGCTGGACGACTCCCACGAAACGAGCGAGCAACACCACCGACCCCGACGCCGACGCCGACGCCGACTCCCTATCTGATCAGGCGTCACCCTTCCACTTTTTGCGGCGGGCTGTCACGTCGCCGGTGAATCCGCGTCTCTTCTTGGTTCACTGTGGCAGCAACCCCCGGTCCGGCCGGTCGCGTCGGCGACTCGCTCTGTGATGATGGTCCGATTTGTTCTCGGGAGGAAATTTCGACGGAAACTTTGGTACTCTCTGTCCTGTAACATTTTGTATTTAAACATTCAAAAAGTAAAGTATTACCTGAACATAAATAAATAGTTTTATACGATAAGAAATAGTTTTGCATAACCAGTTGTCCACGTAGGACGGAAACCAGCTAACCGCAACGCGAAGACGTAGGAGGGGCCCGTCCATTTTTCTTGACAGGGAGCCGAAAACGCGATCAGTCGTCGGTGCGGTGGACTTGTCACGTAAACAGCACACAAGTTTTGTTAGTTAGGCTGAACTACCTATATGGAGTTTTTTTCGCAAGTTACCTATGGAGTATTGGAGTATCATTTTCACAATGCATTATGTTCAACTTCCCAGCAAGCATAGCTCACTCGCACAGTCGCACGCCCTGTATCTATGAACAACTCCGAATGGTAGAGTCAATGGATCTTTAGTTATCGACGTAAGTGGTATGTTGTCTTTAATTTCCTCTAGAAATTTCAGTTTTAGGGTCTCATTGGAACGCATGAATCTTATTAGAACTAGAAGAATACCTTGCGCGTTACTGCAGAAATCGTTGGTAAAATTATACTACTTATATTTACTAATATGATTAAATAAATATCATACTACTTATATTTACTAATATGATTGAATAAATATCATAATACATGTCAGTGGATGATTTTTAGCATTCTGATGTAGACAGCTAAATATATATTAGTAAATAACGTGGTTTGCTAATGTGAATAGCTTGAGTGAAGATATAACGGCATGTGTTAGTTGGATGTGTTATTGGTGCTGATGTGGACACTTTGAATGATGAGATAGTTGAATATGGTAGTGGGATGTTCTAGTGGATGTTGATGTGGACACTTTGTATGGCAAGATAAATTGTTAGTAGGGTCTATCTTTATAAGAGATCTAGATTGTGTAGGAATTTCATTGGAATGATGTAGGAATTTCACAAGAAACGATTCATTTCCACATGAAAAATACAAGGGATAGGGGAAAAATTCAGCATTCAATGAGGGCCTTATAGATTTTTTTACCTCTATGGTTTCTTTTATGGCTAACGAGTGAGTCCTATGTATAAACATTTTGGTTGAATCATTGTGTTCATACGGTAAGAACTTTCAAACAAAGTTTGTGAATTGATAATATACAATACAAGATTGTAAATGTGAAGTCAAAAGAATAGCACAGTTTTATAGTTATAAGCGTGTGTAGTTGAGATGGTATTGGTGCTTGGGAAAATTAATGTTAATATAAGGTCAGTCAAAGGATTCTAATCTTAGAAAAATATTTTTGATCTTTTTTAATTGTTGCTGGTTCGTGGTTAGCAGTAATGCCATATTTAGAACCAGCAGCGATAAGAGTTTTTTTGTATCTTTGCTTCGATCTACAAGAGTACACTTGGGTTTATATGAAATAGGGATAAATAGCACATGATGAGATACATTGAAAAAGAATGAGTTAGGGAAAGAACCGTGCACTACGTTATCACTCTCGATTGGCCCAGCCACTGAACCTTAATGGGCCTAACCACAATTTCAAGCTCACACAGTCGCCTCTGGCCCACCTGGCTGGAAGAGCCTGGATTGCGACGAGTGATAGGAAGTGGAAGCGCGAGCCCACGATCCCTCCATGCCAGCCCAGCCCAGCCCAGCCCAGGAGGTTTCTATTGGACTTCATAAAGGAGACGCCGGTTGGAGGGGTGGTCTGGAGCCCACGTATTTTATATTTTGTTAGCTGCTTTAAAAATGCAATAACTTGCATATAAAACGTCCGTTCACAATTCTATTTTGTACCATTGTACTCAATCCATCCCAAATTATAAGACGTTTGACTTTTTTGACACCAAGTTTGACCACTCGTCTTATTCAAAAATTTGTGT